TATAACCTAACTCAAAACCGTGAATCTCATCAAAAAACAAGAAACTCTCAGCCGGGTGTGCTGGCACATGCCTATAATTGCCAGCAATTTGGAAGGCTGTGGCAGGCAGGTTGTAATTTTGAGACCAGCCTTGACACTTAGACCCTATTTCAAAAAATAAGAAGGGCTGGGGATATAAGGTAGAGCACCCCTGGGTCAATCCCCAGCATTGCCGCCCCATTGCCACCACTCCGCCCCCCCTGCCCCCCAAAAAAAAGGAAAGAAAAGAAAAAAGGAACTGTTACAGTCAAGACGAGCTTAAGAAAACATGAAAACTAAATTTTATGTGGTATCCTGGAACAGAAAAAGAACATTAAGCAAAATCTAGGAACGGATTTTAGTTAACAATAATATATTAATATTGGTTCATTACATGTAACAGTGTACCATGTTATAATAGGGGAAACTGGGATGAGGTACCTCTGTACTGTCTTTATAACCTTCTTGTAAATCTAAAACTGTTCTAATATTAAAGCCTGCCTCATGTACTTACTGAGACCCTCAGTAACTTTGCAAGACCGACCGACTGACCTATCTTCCTTCCTTTCTCTCTCTCTCTCTCTCTCTGTCTCTCTTTCTTTCTTTCCTTCTCTCTTTCTCTCTCTCTTTTTTTACTTCTTTCTAGATACACATGACAGTAGAGTGTATTTTGACATATTATACATGCATAGAATCAGTATAACTTGTTCTAATTAGGATCCCATTATTGTGGTTGTATGTGACATGGAATTACACTGGTTGCATATTCATGTATAAGGATAGGAAAGATATTCTTTCTACTGTCTTTTGTATTTCCATCTTTCCATCCCCCCCAATTTTCCTTCATTCTTTTTTATCTGTCTAATGAACTTCTAATCTTCTCCTCCCTTGTTGTGGCCCAGCATCCACATATCAGAGAGAACATTTAGTCTTTGGTTTTTTTGAGATTGTCTTATTTTACTTAGCATGATATTCTTCAGTTCCATCCATTTACCCACAGAGGCCATAATTTCATTCTTCTTTATAGTCAATATTCCACTGTGTATATATACACCACATTTTATTTATCCTTTCATCTGTTGTAGAGCACCTAGATTGGTTCCGTAGCTTGGCTATTGTGAATTGAGTTGCTATAAACATTGAAGTGGCTGTGTCACTGTAGTATACTGATTTTAAGTCCTTTGGGTATAAATCAAGTAATGGGATAAGTGGGTCAAATGGTGGTTCCATTCCAGGTTTTCTAAGGAATCTGCATGCTGCTTTCCAGAGTGGTTGCACCAATTTTCAGACCCACTAATAATGTGTAAGTGAACCTTTTCCCCCACATCCTTGCCAACATTTATTGTTATTTTTTCTTTTTGATACCAGGAATCAAACTCAGGGACACTCAACCACTGAGCCATATCCCCAGCCCTGCTTAGTGCCTCACTTTTGCTGAGGCTGGCTTTGAACTTGTGATCCTCCTGTCTCAGCCTCCCAAGCCTCTGAGATGAACAGCATGTGCCACCATGCCCAGCCTTTACTTGTATTCTTGATAATTGTCATTCAGAGTGGAGTGAAATGGAATCTCAGTGTAGTTGTGATTTGCATTTTTGTAATTGCTAGAGATGTTTGAACATTTTTCATACATTTTTTTGACTGATCATATTTCACAGTACCTTAGCCCACTTATTGATTGGGTTATTTTTCTTTTGTGTGTGGGTGTGTGTGTATTAAGTTTTTTTTTAGTTCTTTGTGTATCTTGGAGATGAATGCTCTACCTGAAGTGCTGGTGGTAAAGATTTTCTCCCATTCTATAGACTCTCTGTTCACATTGGTTGTTTCCTTTGTGATGAAGAAATTTTTTAGTTTGCTACCATTTACTGATTCTTGATTTTACTTCTTACACTTTAGGAGTCTTATTGAGGAAGTCAGTTCCTAAGCTGATATGGTATAGAGTCGGGCCTATCTTTTCTTCTAGTAGTTTCAGAGTCTCTGGTCTTTTGCTTAGGTCTTTGGTCCACTTTGATTTGACTTTTGTGCAGGGTGAGAGATAGAGGTTCAACTTTATTCTGCTACATATGGATTTCCAGTTTTCCCAGCACCATTTTTTTGAAGAGGCTATCTTTTCTTTTGTTTAATGTTTATTTTTTAGTTTTAGGTGGGCACAATATCTTTATTTTTTATTTTTATGTGGTGCTGAGGATTGAACCCAGTGCTTCACTCATGCCAGGTGAGCGTGCTACCACTTGAGCCATATCCCGAATCCAAGAGGCTATCTTTTCTTCAATTTATGTTTATGGCACCTTTGTCTAGAACCTTTGTCTAGTATGAAATAACTGTATTTGTGTTGGCAGGACTCTGTTCCATAACATGGTGCCAATACCATGCTGTTTTTGTTACTACAGCTCTGCAGTGTAATTTACTGGTATTATATACCTCCTGAGTCACTTTTCTCGCTAAGGATTGCTTTGGCTCTTCTGGACCTCTTATCTTTCCAAATGAATTTCTTGACTGTTTTTTCTATTTCTGTGGAGTATGTCATTGGAATTTTAATAGAGTCACATTAAATCCGTATAGCACTTTTGGTAGTATGGTCATTTTGACAATATTAATTCTGCCTATCCAAGAACATGAGAGGATAAGACCTTTTTTTCCAAAATAAAAAATAAAGGAACCTTTTGTACAATACCCAATACAAAACAAATAAACAAACAAAAACCCCATTGTCTTTGGAGATGAAGAAGTAATAGTGAAGTTTAAAGCATTGTTAGGAGGTTGAATTGAACATGTTTGGTGACTGAATTGAGAAGCAAGATTAAGTGAAGACTCCTAGTGTTTTGTTTTAGGTGGTTACATGAATAACAATGACATTTTCACATAGTACATAATAATCAATTACTTCAAAGTGGTTGTTTTCAAAGGCTATATGCTAATTTCAACAGTGCAGCCATTGTTCAAAATATTTTACATCTCCTGGCATCTTTTATAAATTATTTTTCATACCTTAATGAGAGACATAGTGTTGTAGCAGTCAGGGATGTGTGAGCTTAGGCAAGTTTTTATGTCTCAGAATGAGTGTAGAAACCTATAACAAGTTGCTGTTAGCTAAGTGATATGATGGATATAGATAGTAAATAGGTTTTTGTCCTTTGAGGAGGAATTTGATCTTTGCAACAGTTAAATTATTTCATGCCTGATCTGGTTAATATTTGCAGTAATTGGTTGAGAACCAGAAAAAATTAATTTGATGGGACTAGTTTTTGGTGTATGTATACATATATAATATATTATTTATATAATTAATTAATTTATATATAAATATATATTTTAATATATATTTTAAACTGGGGATTGAATCCAGGGGTGCTTTACCACTTAGCTACATCCTCAAATCTTTTTAATTTTTAAATTTTGAGACAGAGCCTTGCTAAGTTGCTCAGGCTAGCCTTGAACTTGCAATCCTTCTCAGTCTCTTGAGTTACTGGAATTTCAGGCATGAACCACCATGGGTGGGATTGACCTATGAAATTTTTAAAGATAATTTTAGAATTATAGAATTAGATCATTTTAGAATTATTGTAGAGTTGGTAAAATAGCTTATTAACTTATTTGTCATGTTTTACTCTCCTTTAGTCAGTGACAGTTCTTTGAACTTGTGATCCTCCTGTCTCAGCCTCCCAAGCCTCTTAGTCTTTTCTAGAGACAGGGTTTCTCTAAGTTGCCTAGGCTGGCCTCAAACTTGGGATCCTTCTGTCTCAGCTTCCCGAGTACCTGGGATTACAGTTTTTTTCTTGACTTTCATAACCTTAATACTCCTTTTTCTTAAATATTTACTTTTTAGTTTTAGGTGGACACAATATCTTTATTTTATTTTTATGTGGTGCTGAGGATCAAACTCAGTGCCTCATGTGTGCTAGACGAACACTGTACCACTGAGCCACAACCCCAACCTCATAACCTTAATGCTTTTGAAAAGAGCTTGGCAGTTATTTTGTAGAAGTTCCTTCAATTTGGGTTTGTTTGATGATTTCTTTTACTTGAGGTATATGCATTACTAGGAAGAAGTCCAAAGAAGCAGTATGTCCCTCTTACTACATCTTCACAGGGACACATATTCAGTTTGTATTACTGTGATTTTAGCCTTGATCAGTTAGCTCAGGTGCTACCTACCAGGATTCTGTACCATGTATTTACTATATTCCCTTAGTAATTACTAAATATTTTGAGAAATATAATTTAAGACTGTGTAAACCTTGGTCACTAAGTGAGCCACTGGTATTTTTTTTTTTTTTGCCTGTGGCAGTTATTATTGTGACATTCTAATGATAAATTTTGTATTTGCCTCATTCCTTCTGTAGACATTTTTAATTGGAATTCTTCTATAAGGAAGAATTGCTCCTTTAACCTTACCATAATTTTTTAAGTCAGTGCTAGTGTTAGGATTTTTTGAACAGTGCAGGTGTGTTTTAATTTGAAGGGAATTGATAGTTGGTTCTTTCATAGGGATGAGTAGAATTTGTCAACTTAGTTTTGTGTTTGGTACTTTATGTATTTCACTTTCTAAACTTTACTGTAGTATGGCACTTATTTTTGTCATTTGTAAGTAATTATTGGTTGGTTTGTTTATTTATTTTTGTAGTAGGGTTTGATCCCAGGGTGCTTAACCATTTAGCCACATCTCCAGCCCTTTTAAAAAATTTTTTTCTTTTGAGAAAGGGTCTCACTAAGTTGCTTAGGGCCTCACTAAGTTGCTGAGGCTGGCTTTGAACTCCTGAGCCACTGGGATTACAGGTGTGTGCCACTGAGCCTGGCCAAAGTGATCATTTGTAAGACTCCATGTAACTCTTCAGGTGATTTTACTCATATCAAGATCTCAAATGATAAACTGAGGAAAATTAAAGTTGTATTTTATGTTAATATGTATTTTTAAATTTTATAATCTAATAACTACTTTTGAATGAAAACATACCTTCATTTAACTTTTTTTATTTTCTTCTTAGGCTTGAAAAGGAATACACTACAATAAAAACTAAAGAAATGGAAGAGCAAGTTGAAATTAAAGTAAGAATTTCAGAGCTTTTTTAAGTGAAGACAAATTGAATTCAATTACTTAGCAATAGATATTAGGTTATATTGATGTATTGTTGCCATCTGCAGTAAATTTAGCAATGAAGTTTTTATTTATTTACTGACCATCTTCCTAGGTTATAGTTAAAAATAGACATTTCCTAAGATAGGATTGTGCGACTGAAGTGGCTTTATTCTAGTGGCACAAAAGAGTAGCGCTTCCTTTTTCCTAGACATCTTGGTGATTGCTTAGAGAGAATGAGCTCCTTGAGAAGATAATTACATTCCATTTAAGAATAATTGTAAAAGGGTAGAGAAAATCATCTGTAACACATTATGCTCAAGCCAACAGGATCATAATCTACAAACTAAATAGAACAAATCATTACAGTAGAACTAATTATTGCTGTTTTAAAGTGCAGGAAGCGTTGATCAATGAATTTCTTTCTTCCCTAAGCAAAGTTATTTATACTTTTGAACTACTTCCCTCCAAGATAACAGATTTTTTATTTAAAGGACATGTAAATAACCTGCACACATTCTAAAATTCTTATTTGTACCTCCTGTAAGCCTAGAAGGGTCTTAGTTGAGGGTCTTTGGCATACATCGTTGGAACTTTCACTTTGAAAAACTTTAGTGGTTTTTATCTTTTTTTCAAATAAAGTACTATGGGTTGAATCCAGGGGTGCTAAGTCATGTCCCAGCCCTTTTTATTTTTTATTTTGAAACAGAATCTCACTAAGCATAGGGATTCACTAAATTGATAAGGCTGGCTTTGTGATCTTCCTGCCTCAGCCTCCTGAGCCACTGGGATTAATAAGCATATGCCATGATGCCCAGCATTGGCTTTTATCTTGATGCTACAGTAGCGGGATGATGAGTGGAAGCATCAGTTGCATACTGTGATCCAGTTTCTAATCTTACCCCACAAAAATATAAAACAACTTTTACTGGGTGACTTCTTTTTTTTCTTTATTGAACAAATTTTTTGTTTTTAAACAGAAAAATAAGCTTTAATTTACGACAAATGCCAGATTATACAGTGAAAAACAATGTTCTTAGTTTTCTATACTGATGGAACAGTTCCTACTAAATGGAAAAAAAAGCCATAATTTATATTAATAAATATAGTACTCTGTCTCAAAACATTTTACATGATTATTCACAATATTAATATAATAATGTAAGGAATCAGTCATTCTTTTTTGGGGGGCGGGGTGCTAATGGGGATTGAACACAGGGGTACTTAACCCAGTACTGGTACATCCCCAGCCTTTTTTACGTTTTATTTAGAGACCGGGTCACACTAAGTTGCTTTGGGCCTCTCTGAGTTGCTGAGGCTGGCTTTGAATATTTTACTTTCCTGCCTCAGCCTCCTGAGTAACTGGGATTACAGGCATGCACCACCCAACCCAGTGAATTAGTCATTCTTGAGGTTAAATGTAACAGTAATGAAAAAAAAATGCAAAATCTAACAGATTACATCAAAGCTTTTGTTACATCAATTAGAAAATGCTAATTTGTTAATTTTAAATGTTACCTTAATGATACATAATGAACATAGTAAATGTCAAAAACCTGTGTGCATATCTGCAAACATCAGACTTCAAAAATATAATTTTACCACCTAACCATTAATGTGGTGCTGTCTAATTTGAAAATGTATATATTTAAGATTATCCTATGTATCAGTTATAAAGTGGCACTTAATATGTAGTAAAAATTAGGACATAATGGAAAGAATAGTTGAAAAAAATAAACATTTGACACCTCCTAGACAAGTAGCTTTAATGAAGTTTCTCACCTTCAAACTATGTCCCAGTCAGGGCTCTGCCACTGATTAGCTATATAGCTTTGAACAAATTACCTATCCTCCAAGCCTCAGTTGCTTCAACTGGGTGACTTGTTTTTTTAACTTTATGTTTGATTGTGTCTGTTTTTGACTTGGACATGGGAAGACATCAGATGATCCACACCTGTGTACAATTCATTAGCTGTGTGTTGAACCTTGCTATAAATACTTCTTCCACTCCACAGCTCTGTTTACAAGGGAATGGATTCTGTTAAACTCCTCTTTTTTATTTTTTTTTTTTGCCTTTAGTCTTCCTCAAAAGCGGTCACTCCTATTTTCTTACGGGAACTCTCTCTCCTCCCTTTTCTAGATGACTTATTTGCACTTATATAACCTATTGCCTATCAATTGGAAATTGATAGATCTACATTTTTCATAGAGAAAAGACCCCTATGGATATATTGTTGTGAACCATCCTCCTTATTCTTGTCACCCAAGCTGCTGCTCTACCATTTGCTCTCTTTTTAGGTACCATGAGTAAGGTTAATATTAAATCACACCCTGCACTTCGGCCTACTGAAAGTAAAAAGTACGTCATCCTGATGAGTGTGGAGAGTATGGGTTATCGCATATCATGAATATTATGAACTACAAATTAAGAATCTGAGGATGGGGAAGCATTCTTTTTTTTTTAATTTTTTATGAACACAGTATTTTATTTATTTATTTTTTGTATGTGGTGCCGAGGCTCGAATCCAGTGCCTCACGTGTGTGAGGCAAGTGCTCAACCACTGAGCCACAGCCCCAGCCCGGGGAAGCATTCTATTCAGTTTGCCATACTATGTTATTAGGGAAAAAAGATCACAGTTTTATTATGAAAAATCTTTGCTCGGGGCTGGGGATGTGGCTCAAGCGATAGCGCGCTCGCCTGGCATGCGTGCGGCCTGGGTTCGATCCTCAGCACCACATACAAACAACGATGTTGTGTCCACCAATAACTAAAAAATAAATATTAAAAAAATTCTCTCTCTCTCTCTCCTTCTATCACTCTCTCTTAAAAAAAATCTTTGCTCTTGAAGAATTGTCTTATAAAATTAAATCATGTGAATATAGAAACACCAATAGCATTTTCAGAAAAAAAAAAGATCCTGAGCAGATGTTAGCCTATATTTGTGGTTTTTTTAAAAAAATATCTTTTTTGAGGGGAAAGTTATAGTTCATAATGCCTCACAAAATACTTCCAACTATAGTACTTCATTTGTCTCAGGCAAATGGTATGAAATTGTTTATAGAAAAAAATCTGAGGGAAAGAAGAATTACAAATGTTAGTGGAATATATCAGGTAAATAAAATGTGCTGGTTTTAGAGGTAGTCTTTTTTTTTTTTAAGTAGTCTTACTTTTAACTCTTTCTTACTCTTGTGTCATTTTCATGTCTTTATTTCCACAACCCACTAAAGGACAAAGCTGGAACAGTTTTTGAGTGTACCTTTTTTTTTTTTTTTTAACTTTTGAGTTTATCTCATTTCTAACTTGGACCTGACCACAGTTAATGTTCAGATGACCACCTTATTCATTAGCTATGTATAACTGAGCCTTGCTATAAAATGACGGTTCTTATTCGTACCCCCTCCCTCCCCTATAGGTGTCTTTTATGAGGGAATGTATATATTAGACTAGTCCTTTCCTTTCCTTTCCTTTTCCTTTTTCCTTTTTCCTTTTTCCTTTCCGTTCCGTGTGTGGGTTACCTGGGATTGAACTCAGGGGCACTTAACCACTGAGCCACATCTCCAGCCCTATTTTGTATTTTATTTAGAAACAGGGTCTCACTGAGTTGCTTAGCACCTCACTTTTGCTGAGGCTGGTTTTGAACTTGTGATCCCTCTGTGTGAGCCTCCCAAGCTGCTGGGATTGCAGATGTGCACTACCAGGCCCAGCTAGACTAGTGCTTTCTTTTTTTCTTTTTTTTGAAAAAGAGAGAGAGAGAGAGAGAGAGAGAGAGAGAGAGAGAGANGAGAGAGAGAGAGAGAGAATTTTTAATACTTATTTTTTAGTTCTCGGCGGACAAAACATCTTTGTTGGTATGTGGTGCTGAGGATCGAACCCGGGCCGCACGAACGCCAGGCGAGCGCGATACCACTTGAGCCACATCCCCAGCCCCGACTAGTGCTTTCTTAAGGATTTTTTTCTTTTTTGATGCTGGGGATCCAGGGCCTTGAAACTTGTACTTTCTTGCCTTGGTCTTCCTCAGAAGCATCCAGGGAGTTGGTTCTGTACCATCCTTTACCTAAGCAAGTGGTATGATCATTAAATTTTGATATGGATGTCTAAAATCAGACTGGAATGATATGAAGTTCTTGTTCTTTTTGTTTTTGTTTTTTTTTTTAGCAGTACCAGGGACAAACCTAGGCCTCATGCAAGGTATTTTATTAATAGAAATACCTTTATTGGTATCTTTTTTCTAATCTATTGATATTCTTTCCACCTGACTAGATAGGAGGTAAGAAATATTAAAATTCTAATTTATGTTAGGGTAACACACAAATCTTTTTAAAAATAAAAATCTTTATTTTCTCATTCAATTTAAGACATTTATGGACTGATAATCTGATTTTCATGTTTAAATTTGTGCTTTGGGACACAGCTTTATAACCCTTCAAATGAGAGGTATTAAAAATTCTGGCTGATTTTTAGTAAAAGTTAATTTTTTATTGTTTCAAAAATTAGGAAATATTTCAGGTGTGCTGAAAGCCAGAGAATGATATAAAAACAGTCATGTCTACTACCTGGCATAGAAAAGAAAACATTTTAAGTTGTCAGAAATTATACTTAAAAGTCAGTGTCAGCTATTAGTAGAATTGAAGCTCACATTTATTTAACACTTAATATATCATGGCTTATTTACAAACATTATCTCTATATTTTTGAATATTCTTATGAAAGGGTTCTTAATTTAATTTTTCTTTGAAGAAAGAAAGCTCAAGTACCATGACAGTGGTCACACTGATAGGAACCAATGAAAGGCAAGGGTTCTAAGAAGTTATTCTCAGGCCCATGTATGTTTTTCAACATATACACTATACTGCTTTTCAAGAAACTTTGATATATTTATGATAYAAAAAATATTTGAATCCCATTTTTACATATTATTATAATCTTTTCATTAAAAAATAAGGCACTAGTTAAAAAAAAACTATAAATAGC